CTTATCAATTAATAAATGATTTATTATTAAATGTAAATGAATACTTATTAATTAATATATCACTACTCGTTAAAACATGATCTACACATGTTTATTTTCACAACCAAGTTCTTTTATATTCTTGAACTTATCAATTAATGAATGACTTCTTATTAACTGTGAGGGAATACTTGTTAATTAATAAATAGTTATTTATTGAAACATAATATATATTTATCTCTTTTCACGACTAAGTTGTTTCAGACTCTTAAATTTTTCAATTAGTAAATGAATAATTATTAATTAAAAAATAATTACTTACTAAAACATGAATTATATATGTTTCTTCTTATAATCAAACTCTTTTATATTTTTAAACTTGTTAATTAATAAATTATTTATTTTAAAATATAAATAAATCTTTATTAATTAATAAATAACTATTTATTAATTAAAAAAGAAATGCAAGATTATTGTTGTTTTTTCCTATTTAACGAGAATATTTTAATCTTTGATTGATATCAAACATCCTTAGCGGTCTTTGAATGGTATTTTGCCTAATTTTATAACTCAATCATGCTTCAATATCACTCAAGCTATTTATAAAAGCGCGCGCGCTTTTATTACAAAAAAGTAATTTATATTGCATAATATGATATAAAAATTAAAAACTAATTAAAACATCTCATCTATATATGGTTATGGTTATAACTATACTTGAAATGAATTCTGTAAAAACTTGTAAAACAATGTGAAAGTGTTTTAAAATTTTAATTTAAACAAAAAAGCAATGTTCAACTAGTTTAATATTAAACTCGTTTGTTTATTGTTAGCTTTTTTTTTTTTAGCTATGACAGATTAATAATTAATTTGACAAAACATTTCAAGATTTGAAAGAAGGCTAAACATGATAATATGTGAGTTATTAAAGAAGGCATAAAATAATGCCAAGTCTTGTTAAATACTAAGAAAATTGAACTTCTTATAAATCATTAAATAGTAGCAAGTCTTGTTAAATAAGATTGTAAGCATAGTTGTCAAACTCTTAAGTTGACTCTCTGAATTTATTATTTTTATATTTTTAACTTATAAAATTGTGTTAATTCGATTATAAACTTGGAATAGATGAAACTTAATTAAACTTGCAAGTTAATTCTACAAGTTCACAATTTTTATATTTTTAGTTTATAAAATTGTGTCAGTTTACTTATAAACTTAGATTAGATGCAATCGATTAAATTTGCTAAACTTGTCAATTTTTAGTTGAGTTGAGAAAATTAGATATATGCTCTATAAAACTTGCTTCATAAAAATGATAGAACACAATTAAAAGAAAAATAAAAATCAAAAAATAAATATTAATATTAATAAAAAAATAACAAATTAAGTTGCCTTATTTTGAAATTTTTATGTTTATTGTGATAATCTATCAATATAGGTAAATTTAATTTCAATAATTTATATTTAAAATATACTTAAATCAAAGTATGATCATATTTTATAGTTTCATTATTTAATTATGTACTTTTAATGGTTATTTATTAATAAAAATAAACTCTTACAAGTCAAACATCCGAGTTTATAATTCGAGTTTGCATCTTTGTTACAAGTTTACTTAAATTCATGAGTTTGACAACTTTGATTATAAGTTATATCATTCACTACACAACTGATCATTAGAAATGGATTTATATCAAAAGTAGAAAGTGGCTATCATATGTTTTTTTTTTTAATGAAAACTTTTTTATGCAAATTAGATTACTAATTATGCTCATAATATTGGCATTATATAGTACTATTTTCTTCATCTACCACCTAAATGTGAGAGGAAATTGATGAATGATTCGTATGGAGTTACAATTTCTAAGATTATGCAAAAACTTTGAGGACTTGTCTCATGGATTCAAAAGGGAGGGAAAAAAAGAATTAGTAAGTTATAGCCAATTTCACTTGTCCAATTACTATATACAAAAGGATTAAAGGGAAAAAAATGTCCTAGAACTTTTTTTCCAATAGCACTTGATACTTTGAACTCTTTTTGAGAACATTTTTGCCTTGAATTTTTCAAAAAGAGAGCATTTGTCCCACCATTAGAAATTATGAACGTCGACCGTTAACTAAAGTTTAACCAAGGGTTAAATAGCTTATTTGCCCTGAAACTTTTTCTTCAGGAGCGCTTGGTACCCTAAACTTTTGTTTGGAGCTTGTTTACCTTGGATGTTTTAAAAAAAGAGTAATTTTGCGCTACCTTCATTATCATCATCATCATTATCATCCTCTTCTTCCTCTTGCTCCTTTTTCACTAACAAGCTCCTACATTATCATGGATTGGAGTCTAAATGTGAAGTTGGGAAAAATAAGTGTCTAAAATTTGTCAGCCTCACAAGAAGTCTCACAGCTGGCGCAATACTTTAACCCCTAGAAATGGTCACTCAAGTCCACAACTTTATCGCTTTGCCTTCAAAGCAAATTCATCATTCCTAACTTCCCTTAAATTGCCTTTGTTCTCCCTCAACAACTGCCACATGCTTCTCGCATAACATCCAAGTTGCTGCTTTCACTACCATTACCATGGTCAATTTTGATATTATGAAGCCCTCAAAAGAGTCCTAGTTAAGGTCAGAGTCCATAGAGTCATCATACTTAAGTGAGATAATGGAATTGTCAAATATAGAAGAAAAGAGTTTTCACATGACTAAATTCTTATGGATTGACTCAATGGATAGTTAATTATTTTCAGGTATAGATATAATTTTGGATGATTTGAAATTGTTTGTTGTTGATGGAGTTGTTCTTACAATTATTATTGATGTTAATAGAAGTATTCTTGTTATTTAGGTTTTTTTTAATACCGCATGGCTATATATGGCAATTAAAGTCAAAGTAACAACTAATATTAACGGCAGGGCAAAATTATTTCCTTTTTTAAACTTCCAAGGTAAATAAGCTCCGAACATAAGTTTAGGGTATCTAGAGCCCTTAAAGAAAAAAGTTTCAGGACAAATATATTATTTGACCCTTTATCAAACTTTAGTTAACGGTCAATATTTGTAATTTCTAACGGTAGGGTAAAAATACTCTCTTTTTGAAAAGTTCAGGGCAAAAATGCTCCAAAAAAAAATTTAGAGTGTTAAGTGCCCCTGAAAGAAAAAGTTCTAGGACAATTTTGCCCTTTAACCCATATACAAAATGTACATACATATACTAGTGGCATTGTATCTTAGTGACATATAAATTATATTCTATATAGAAGGTCATGTATTTGATCTTATTTGTAATCTCAAGTCATTAGTGCTTATTCTTAATTATAGAATTTAATTAATCACCCCTAATTACCAGCATTTTTAATAAAACTTGTATTAATTACACTTTAAAATATTTAAAATATCTCATATTGAACACAATGCTTTAAAAAAGTATCTTATATATAATACCAAATAATAAACGGAGGGACTAAAACTAGAAGAGAAATACTTAGATAAATTGATTGTATCACATCATTCGTGGTTTGTTCAAATAAAATGCTTCAAGTAATCTAAATAAAATCATGTGTAATATTTTTTAAATTAATTTTATTTTTATAATAGAATATATATTTGATTTCTTGCTTTTTCCTTCTCTACTATCATTGAAATCAAAATTAATTTATATTTAATGCTATCTACATATCATATTTTTATTAAACAAATCACAAATGACATGGTGTACTCGATTTACTTGAGTATTTCTCAAACTAGAAGGAGGGGTTTTATTATTTTGTTATTTATTACCATAAATCCATAATTATTTATTTTAAAATTTTTGTGCATCTCCAATTCTCCATGGAAGTTTAAACTATTTTTCTAACAATATTTGCATTATCTTCCATTGAATGTACATAATATATTTACCACGCGTTTTACCTTTTCATTTAAAATCTGACTCCCATGTTTTACCCAAAAAAACTAAAATATCACCAATCTTTCATTTTGCCCCAAAAAAAAATTATATTATGGAATTGAATCATCTAAAAATAAGTTCACCGGAAAACCATGTAACATCCACACCACAATCCGTCCAATGAAAATACAACTGAAATGTCAAACATGCAAAAGCAATTAGACAAAAGAAAGTTCAGCCACAGCCTGCAATCTTCATGTTATAAATATAAAAGTAAGGTAAAATTCAAAGTTTCATTTATAAAAAAATTATTATTTTCAATTTGAACTTAACAATAAAATAAATTTTATATAAAAAAATTATAATTTTTTTATTTAATTTTTGTGATTAATAGAATTAAAATTGTAATTGTTTAAATAAAAGTTGTGATTGAAATATATTATTTTTAAAATTTATTTACCAATGATAAAAAATTCATGTGAGAAATTATAATTTTTTATTTAATTTTTGAAATTCATAAAACAAAAATTAAGATTATTTAAATAAAAATTGTGATTAAAAAATTAAACCAAACCCATTATTTTTATTTTAAATAAAAAATAATTTAATTATTTAATTTAAAATTATTAATGTCAAAAAGTATTCAAAAATTTTAAAAAAATTATAATGTTTTAAAGAATTTAATTATTATTTATATATTTTTTGAAATTTTATTTTTTAAAAAAATCCAAATGATTAATGGTTAATGTTGCGACCGAACTTGAGAGATATTTTTATATCTTACCGTTGTATATGGAAAGATCTAGAGAGAGAAACACATCATCTTCTCTCTAGATCGTTCCATTTCACGTTCATTTTCTGGGAAACTCCCTCCAGGTCCCGCAAGTGGGCCCACCTGTGCGATCCCATCAAGAACAACGTGTCTCAACGGACCGTTTACGCAAAACCGAGTCCAGTGATTTGACTACCTCCCAACCCAAAACCACACCCCATGTTTCTGACTTTTCCTTCTCCTTCTCTCTCCCACTCTCTTATATAAAACCTTATCCTCCTCCTCCGTTTTGAACCTTACAAACCTAATCTTCAGGCTCTCTCGCTTTCTTTCAATTTCTAATCTTTGCTTTGTGTTTTTCTCATCTCTGATGGCACTGTTACTTCAGAAATTCGCCAAGTATCAGAAGCAAACCCCACCCCTTCGTCATGATTCCGAGGAGGAACATGCTCTCTCTGCTTCTCTGCAGGATTTTCGGTCCCAGATCTCAAAGTTGGTTGCTCAGTTAGGGTTTAGTTTGGAGCACGCCGGCTCTCAGAACCTGTCCTTGTCCTGGATCAACAAGTTCTTTGGGCTGTTACAGGTGACTCACAAGGCCTTCGCGAATCTGGTTGTGGATATCGATTATCCGATTAGCAAGTGGAGCTCCGATTCTATTGAAGGGTATCTCAACTATTGCTTGGCTTTGCTTCAGCTTTTTAATGCAATTTCTTCTTCTCTCTCTCTCATCGGCCAATCTCGGCTTTCGCTGTCTTTTGGGTTGATTAAGTTCAAGAAATCGGCTTCTTCTGCGAAAGATTACCTGAAAGGAATCGAAATTGGGCCTGGTAAGAATAAGACTAGCCCCAATTTGGAGGGTGGATTTTGCAGTGGAAGAGACAAATCAAAGGGCTTCTCTTGCAAAGAGAGGGTTCTTGGAGAATCTATTCAGGAATTAAGAACTGTCGGATTCTGGGTGTGTGGAATTGTTCTTTCAGGTGTAGCCGGCGATGCCGGCTCGTACATGGAGATCAGAAAAAAATTAGGGTCCAGCTCGGTGGTTGCCCCTCTTGATTCCAAAATCGGTGAGAAACTCCCGGCTTTGAAGGAGGTGAAAGAGATCAACGACGCTGTGGGTGATCTTCTCGCTGCTTCCGAATCCGACGATGCCGTGAAAGATGATGCGGCCATGGAGTTGCAGAAGAAGGTGGATTTGTTCCAGAAGGGACTGGACGATCTAAGCAAGGAGGTTGATGATATGTTCAACAAGGTCATGACACAGAGAAACGAGTTGATTGACTGCTTCAGATTCAGAGACCGATCACCTAGAAAATCCGTTGTTTGATTTTAAGTTCACCGTCAAGATTGATAGGTTTAAGGTTTTTTTTTCCCCAAAGAGTCATGTCTATGGAGGGTATTGGATGTTAGAAATATATGTAAATATTGGCAAAAATTAAAAAATAAAAAAGTGATTTTGATTTTGTAGTGTGCCTATATTTAAAATATATTAAATATAATGTAATATTTTTTTATGTCTTATTTATAAATTATTTTTATTAATTTTATTAATGTTAAAAACAAAATTTAATGAAATTACAAATTTTTTAAAGAGTAAATAAATTATATAAACATGTTTTTTATTTTTAAGATAGTTTGTACATTTTGTTTACAATAAAACATTAACATTAATTTAATTACTTATCAAGTGAATTATTTCAACTTTTTAAAAAGTGATCAACAAAGTCAATCGGATGAAGCATTGATCTTTCAAAAGAAAGTTGTTTTGGCCATTGGCATACGTATCTTTTAGAAAAGTATGAATATGAATATTAATTTCAACACGTTAAGGTGTTGACAAGGAACAGTATAGTTGAGCAATACCTACAACCAGAAGGCCGAAAGTCTGCCGGCTGCCGTATCAATATTATTTGAGTACTGTTATTAGTCTGGATACGACGTGTTCCACGTTCTAAGGAAAGTGACCCTACTTACACCATCAAAACGCGGCGTTTTAATTTTGTGAGTCTGAGAGAGCAATTAATATTTTTGCTGAGTTGCAGCTCGCAACATATCTCGGCCGTTCTTGCTGTTCCAGCCCAAATCTGAGCTGTTTTGCAACGGATCGTGACGTAACTCCATTGATGAAAGATAATTAATAATCATAATTCATGAGCAATTTTTAAAATTAATTTAAACATAAAATTTAATGATAATAAAAATTTTAATCTCCCTTATCGATTTTCTCAACACCAATTTGGTCCTTAAAATTTGTGTACTAATTTGATTATTATTTAAAAAAAAGGTAATACTATTAAAATCTGCTAATATAGATAATAAACTATTATCACCACCGCCAAGTGAATTAAGGAAATGAAGTTTACATAATTTAAGTAGAAACAAACATGCTTGATAATTTTTTAAAAAAATAGTCCTTACATTAAAAAATATAAAATATTTTTAATCAAATCTTACCCCAATGAAATAGTTACCTATTTTCTAACTAACTCTATCTTTTCATATTTATTCTTATTGAACATCCTATAATAAATATAAAATCACTATCAATAGAGACACTTTTGAAAAATAAAAAGACAATGATTACACCTTAAAAGATTAAAAATGCTTTATATTTTTTAACATTTAATTCCTCAAAAAATGTCTTAAATTTTTAAACGAAAGGAGTAACAGAATAACATGTAGCATAAGAAATTAGATTGAAAAAATTAAATTAATTTGGAAGCTAATTTATTAAAGGACTAATATGATAATTTAAAAAATATAAGAGATCAAATTAATAAAAATTAAAATTCAAGAATCAAATCAATAACTAATAATTAAGATAAGTTTGAGGGTAAGTTTTATTGTTCCTAAAATTCACGAGGGCACAAACGTGTTTGGGCTTTCTCTCTCCGCGTGACTTTGGGCATTTGAATGTGCCCTGAATCTTTGCAACTCGTACCCAAATGTGAGTTTCTCATCAATTATCTAATTTGAAAAGAAAATTAAGTAATTTTTTTTGAATAAATAATTTTTTCTAAATAAAACTATGTAATTACATGTTTACTATTAATCTAATCTACTAATTTCAGTTTAATAAAAAAATTATTTGTTAAGAAATTCAGCCTGAAACATTAGTTAATAGAAAGTTTTTCTTTTTATTATGATGAATATTAAGGTTGGGATTTACATCAAAATTTAGTTACTTATCAAAAAATTAAGACCGGTGGAGATAAATTTTCTTACAACTCAGCAATATCGTGCAGAATCTAATTCTTGATTTTTTGTTTTGGAGAATTACAACCAACTCGGGCAAATCCCCTCAATACAATTATTAAATATCATAAGATTCATTGAAAATTATTCGTTATTTTACTATGCTCAGTTGTTAATGGATTTTGTGATATTTAATTATATTATGAGAGACCTAAACAACTGTGTGTGTGTGTGTGTGTGTGTGTATATGTTTAAATTTTGGAATGGAAAACTAGGAACCCTTCTTCAAAAATGACCTATTTATCTATTTTCCTCTTTCAATGTGTATGTATTGTTGATTGTTTTTGGAATGAAATGACATTTTAAAAAAGAGTTTTTCTTTTCAATCTCCCAATGACATGAGAAGAGGGGCATTACAGAGCATACGTTGCATAGAAGTTCCAAGGATGATTGAAAACTCCATTTGTGAATTACTCTCTTATCTCCACATTGCCAAGTACAGGTTTTCTAGCTATAACTGATCAAGGAGAAAGGAAGAAGACATTTGAAAATGAACAATGGATTGATATAAATAAACCTGAAAAGCACCATCCTCTTCCGGAGATATTTCAAAACAAGGTTCATAATTTTCATTTTTCCCAGCTCATTTCACTGAAATTTGGTAAGAAAACTGGGGAAAAAATTTTCTGCATCCTGCAAATCTCCTACATGAGGAGAGCCAAAATCTACTTCTTATGAGTTGGGAGGGGTCACCTACACTAGGGATCCTACCTTTCACCTGTAGTCTAAACTCTTACTGTGCACAACTATAACTGCACTAAACTAGTCCCATGTTTTATTTTTAATTTTGATTTAAGTTGGTCAAATATTGGGATCAGAGTAGAGCCATTTGAGATTCAGAGTCATTGGAGAATGTTTCTTTCTCAGGTGCCTTCCTCTTGTGATGAACATCAGTGGGCAACCTACAGGACAGGAACCATATATGAGCCCATAATAATGAACCTAAGACAATACTAACGTTCTTAGGTTGACTGGTTTAAGCGCAAATGCAACATGGAAGCATGTCAGATATATTTTATTCATGTTGAGTTGATACAGAAATAGAAGGTAAAATTTCTCGAGTGTTTGTTCTGAAAATTCTCCAATAAAAATATCTAATGAAAACCTGTTAGCTAAACATCTAATGAAAATTCATCTGAGTTCTATCCTTGATACAAAGCAGAACTCCAGAAGTTATAATGTTGATCACAAAGCAGCTAAGACCACCATAAACTCAAATGATATATGAGTATTTCTAGCATAACAATCAACAAAAGATAGTGATGATTTCTCATGGAGATATTGCAATGCAGAAGGATTTAAAGCAACTGAATAATAAGTTTGGTAATAGAAAAGTAGAATACCCTAAATGCAAGGTAGTGTCTGAATCTCCATTCTCATTTTCACAGTTGCTGGCCAAGTTGGAACATATGATACCATTATTTACAGGGACGTCCCTTCTTTCCATATGATGGTATTGAAGAAAAGAAGGGACCACATGCTCAGTTATTGGAAACAAACAGCGAAGCTCCTCAACCTGTAATCCATTTCAGGAAAAATGAAGTCATCAGCCATGCATCATTCCTGTATGTACAGTTTTAGTATAATTATCTTTGCATTTGGGAGAAGAGTACTTGCCTGTCTGCGCAAAGTTTCATTCTCCAACATAGCCCTTTGTTCCTGAAAAGAATATATTAAACATATTACTACATGAAAGAGATAAATTCCAGCCCCTTTTAACTTTTGAGAAGATATAAATGCAGGTTGAAGCTACACATAATCCTCAAATTGATACCGATTTAAATTTATCCATAAACTTGTGTCAATTTGAGAGACCAGAGGAGATTGGGATTCAAGCCCAATCACTATTTACTATTGAACTTTATAGGTAATTCTCACATATAGGGAATACTTAAGAAAACCAACTACCATACTCCCTTTCAAGGGTAGAAAACTATCCATTAAAAGGAATTTGATTTCATTCAGGCTTGCTTGGTATGGGTCATGATTGAATACCTTCATGCTTTCAGGGTGATCTAAAACCTTGCAATAATCCATGTTAACACAAAAATCCTTGACTTTTACAAACAGAAGGCTCACTATGTCTCCTTAATTTGAAGGCTAATTTATCTAGTTCCGAAAAAGCTGGCATGGTAAGGTCAGATTCCAGTATACCTGTACTCTCGACTGCTCCAGTTGCTCCATAAGCAATTCCTCCTGTAAGAATAAACATTAGGTCTCACAGCTGGTGAAATAGAAAAGCCGCTGAAACTAAGGAACAAAAAAATAGAGAATAAAGTTAAATGAGAAAGACCTTCTTCTCCTTGACAGAAAATAATGCTTCATTCAGTTGCTGCTCTAGCTGGTGCAATTCCTTCAAATTCAACCCTGTCAGGTCCTTACCTAACAAGCGTCTGTAGAATCAGAAGCTAATATTCATAAGAAATACACAAATTAGCAAAATATAGTAAACAAGACATGAACACATTGAAAACACATACAACTGCTTTTTTTCTAGCTTTAAAATTTCATCTTTCAGAGTCTGCACTGTCTTAGGATCTTCCTTCTGAAAAAGAAAATTGTTAGATGATAATCCCATAAATGAATCATAGGGAAATGCCAATCAGGAAGTACCTAATGCAAGAAGCAATAGAAGAATGATTAAGAAGGCAAAAAAAATTCAATTGCTAGACGCTGCCATTTGAAGTCGAGCAATTTTAACTCAATAAAGTCCGTATGATAGTAGTAAGAAAATAACTCAAGAAAATAATTACTTATACCTAAGTAGTAAGGAGAGTCCACAGGTAAATAAAACATGCAAACTAGATTAACATTGCAGTTCCACGAACAAATAAGTTTTGTAGCTTGAAGAATGAAAAAACTGAGTTTTATGTAAATCAAGAAGGAGATATTGAGAAGTCCAATGTATTTCATTATCAGGTCAAAATAATGTACTTCTGCTGTAGTCAGACAACACAGTGAGGGGCTAAAGCACTCTATGTAGCTATATGAACATGAAACCATGTGCAACCTCAAACCAGGAAAAAATTTGAGGTTTAATAAGCTAATTGCTAATGGGTATATGACAGAGTACCTCTGTCTTACATTCCATCACAGCAGCTTCTGAAGGGTTAAAGCATTTGTTGTATCTTGAAAGTGTTCTCATCATACTGCAAGAATAAATTGCAAGTATAAATGACCACATGTTTGGTTAGTAGGAAATATGGTATATGATTTGCTCGGCCATATGTTGAGTTTACTCGAATGTAAAGAAGTATATATGAGATCAAGTTAGTTTTTTCTAGCCAAAAACAATCATGATGCTACTTTTACAGAGAAACTTAGCAACAACATGAAATTTACACCAAAGATATCAGGAGGGGACAGAATTAACATGGCACATAGAAATTTTGAAGACGTTTAGTTGCAGTGAAACAGTGCATGCCATCTTATTGCTGAACACAAGTTCAATCAGCAATTGAAGTTCATAATACGATAGACAAGTCATATGAACGAGGTCAAAACCCAGAAAAAGGAGGGGACAAAAAGTTCGAGATTTTATGTACTCTAAATTCACTTCAAGAAGCTTACAATAGTCAGGTAGAAGAGTTCAACATAAGATAATTTAAACAGTGCAAAGAAGTAATCTAAGAATGTATTTTTTTTTTTTTTTACCGAAAAGAAATGCGTTGAGTTACATCAGAAACAAAGGAATTTTACACAAAACACTGAGGACCAAAGAAGAAAAAGACGATTCGAATATATAAAAATTAATTTTTTAAGGAATGGGAGAAAATAGCGCATGCAAATAATGTAAACATATAAAAGAGGAACAACATCGACATCATTCATGTCAACAGAACTTACACAAACACGCTGAAATTTTCCAGCCTAGTTTACAGAAACAACAGAGGGTATGATAGAAAAAACAACATGCAATCAAATCTAAAGTTCAAGAAAATTTAAACGCATACCCAGAACTCGAAAACTCGAAAAGCTTCCCTGTATTTGAGAAAATGATCACAGCAACCTCGGCGTCACAGAGAATAGCAAGTTCATGAGCCTTCTTAAGCAATCCATTACGCCTCTTGGAGAATGTGACTTGCCGGCTGTTGGCATTCTCGATCCTTTTGATTTCAATCTTCCCTCGACCCATTTCTCTAACTACAGAAAGAAATTACAGAGACCCAACTGATCAACACCCAGAACCAGGAGCAGAATCAGAATCAATACGTTGTTCAATCCAGAGACCTCTGTTTCGAGAAACTGATTGAGCTCTCTTCCTTCCTCCCTAGCAACCCCTAAAGGAGCTTCCTTTCTGGAATTTCTAAAGCCCCATTTGGTGTTTTGAAGGGTTTTTGAGGGAAAGGGTCTAAATTTGAAGAAGCGATAGAGAGATTGAGGGAGAGAGAGAAAGAAGAGAGAGCGTTTTAACCCCAAATGGCGAGAGACTGGAAACGGCAACTTTCTTTGCATGGCTCTGTATCTATCTATTTAGAGTAGTGCATGACTCCTTTTTGCCACATTTAGAGCGTTTTCGTGCTATTGGTTCTCTCGTGGGTCCCACTTCCTTCCTTCTTTTATTTTTCCATTGCTTCTTTAGGCTGTTTCTAATTTTATATCTATATTTTTTTATGGCAAGTTATATTTTTTCCTTTGTGTTTGTGCACATTTTACTCAACGAATTCAAATTCATATATAAACCTTTAAATATTGACCTTAACATAGTATTATAAGTTTATTACAATAAACCTTTTTTTGTAATATTACAATAAAACTTTAAACTAAGACTAAATCGATAACTTTGCATTTTTAGGCACCGATAACCATAAAAATTTGTGAGTACAGTTTTATCTTTATATTAATTTAAATTTTATCATCAAAGTAAAAAATTGCGTGATTTTTCTTTAATTTGTAAGAAAATGTCTTGTTAAAGATTAAAATTCATTAATCTCATATATTGTATGGAGATTAAAAGATAAATGATGATAGCTAATAAAGATTGATCTGATTGGTAAAATTTTTTGTCCATAACCTATAAAGTCATGAATTCTAATTTATTGTTAATGTGAAGATTTTGTTGGCAGATAATTTGTAAGTAATTTTATTAACATTTTTTAAGTTTAAATATATATATTGATTCTGGTGAACTCTCAAAATCCAACTCATATAAACTTTTTTTAATTAAAAGATAAATAATCACATTTATAATTTTTCAATAAGAGTTGCTTGGTTGGATTGTTTAACTTTAAAAAATAATTAATTTTTATATTATTTAGATGTTTTTTTTAAGTTATTATTTATATCATTTCCTTTTTGTCTCATTTGCTTCCTTATTTGCCACTTATGGCAAATGCATTGAATAGCGTAGGCACCACCAGATTTAGTTTAAGAGTAGTGTTATTTTGGTACTTTTATCTTTTGGAAAGTACAAGGAAGCAAAAGATAACATCCCATGGATGCTTTCAACAGGAAAAATTTTCATTTCAATTACCTTTATTTATTTTTATTTTTTTTTTCTCCAGAGCAATGGCTTGACCCTTAACTTGACAAAGAGCAGGTAGAATTTTCCAAATTTTTTTTTTAAAAAAAGACAGATAAATAGAGAAAGAGAAAATAATATCTTGGATGCTTGACAAAAGCGTTGGATGCTCTAGATTATTTATTTTAATTTTCGTATTACTTTTATATTAAATAGAACAGAATACATAATAAAAATAGTTTTAACTGTAAACTTAAAAACAATATTTTATTTAAAATGTATCAAAAATTTAATTTTAAATCATCCAAAGCAAATTTAATGTATTTTGGTAGTGTTCCTTATGTGTATGAATCGAGGAGATCTACGTATACATATATTTTATTGTCTTTAAAATTGACATGGTGATTTCTATGAAAAAAATAAAAGGATCTTTACTTTAGTAAAATTGCTTAATTTCAAATAAACTACAATTTTTCCATGCCTTGGGATAAATAATGTTTAAACAAATTGATATTTATATGAGATAAAAAATTTAAAAAAACTTGAGAGAAAAACATGAATAGAAATAAAAGTGTACTAATTAATTTACTACAATATGAAAAGCAAGAGAGAGTATTTTTATATTTTTATATAAAAGATAAAGTCAGGATAGTCAAGGGAAACTAAATTGGCACTACTATTTATAAACTATATTTAGCTCCCTGCAAGCACATTGTGTACTTGTAAATGGATAACCAAAAAGAAGGTGCTTACCTAGTAAGAGATTAGGCTAAAGAGGAAGAAGGCATTGAATATGGAAAAGTTTACTAAAAAATAAAATTAAAATAATTTTTTTAAAAATATGGGAAGTGGCAAATTGGTAAATAGAGGGATGTTGAAAATTCAAAAGGATAGTTTCCAAAACAAGAGAAGTAAGGGAAAAGTGAAGAAAATGTGAAGAAGCACAGTTACTTTAAAGAGATTTGTCTTTTTGCCTTTTATCGTGTGTGAAGATGATCCACCTCTTGCTTGCTTCCATCCCTATCTCTGTCATTTGCCTCCACTCTCTCTCTTTATCTTTTTGGCTTTACAAGGGTAATTGGCATGAATTCATTGTGTGTTTTGTTTTGGTTAATTCCAAATCATATTTATTGCAATTTACCCCTTTTTGGTTGGAAGAGTTTAAAAAGGAAAGAAGTTGTACATAGCTTTGCATTCGTTTTTTCCTTAGTAAGGATGCAGCAACATAAAAGGGAAAAACAACTAAATATATATTTATGAAGCTTGTTATCAACGCGAGGATTTTATTATTTGACAAATTTATGAATATCTCTAGTCTAGGAGAGATATAAGACATAAATCACCAAGCTTGTTTCTTTTCATTTAAAAAAATGCTTGAACATAAGAAAAAATTAGAGTAGAATTGAAGTTTACATCTTGATTTTATTCCCAATTTTTATTCATCAAAACCAAACAAAAATAATCAAATATGATAATGATTGAATATCATTTTATTTTATTTTTTAAAATTTTGATGTAAGGGTAACACTATACCTTTTCATTTCATTATTAGCTTGTATTATCATCAATTAACTAACTTTCTTGCTAAATTAATAGTGAGAGATTTATTTATTGATAAGTCCGGTCTAGCGCAACTTAAATCTAAAACACTTTTCAGGTAAATAAAAAAAAAAATTAAAAGACTTCATGCCAGTACGCTTAGGTCCAAATTCAGCCCACCTTACTTTATGGCCCATTATCACAATCACTATTGGCCCAAGCCAATGGCGAACCCAAGGCCTTGCCTCACACACGTTTAACATAGGAGGTTAAGATCATGTCTACAATAAACAACAAACCAAGCATGATTGAACGAAATATCCACATTTAATATCTAAATATATCTCAAATAGAATTACATCTAATAAGAATATACATATAAGCAATTTATTCAAAAAAAAAAATCATGTCTTCAATCGTGACCTACAATGCTCAAACTTGACACAATCAAATAGCTGTATCAAAAGAGGCAAGATCACCTTAAAAAGAAACAAAAAACATAGGATATAACATTAAATGAAGATACATTTCTGAATAAATAAATGTTCCATGTACTCGTAAGTAATTTTCCTTCAGTAAAATCCCTATTTCCATAAAAAAAAAATTGACACATTAGTTAGCCAAATTATGCTTTCCCAAAGATCAAACATGTTTTCCCAATATCAAAATTCACAGGACAAGATACCTTATAGTCTAGTGGCATGTTAGGTTCCTTATATGTGAAAAGTCACTGGTTAAATCCGCTTGTAACTTCAGGCCGTTATTGCCCTTCTAATTTAAAAAAGAAAATTACAACACAAATGAAACTCAGAAAAAAACAAAAGAAAGAAAAGAAAACAAAAGAAAAGAGAGGGGGGGAAGCCCAAGTACAAAATTTGAAAAACAAACAAAGAAAGCTTACAACGTCTTTAGACAAGCTCTCTTTCATCCCCCTACCATTCACGTCATAGAAGCAAGTTTGGAGGAAAGTTAAAGCTGGAAGACTAGAATTATCCTTTTCATGACACAACAAAAATACACACAAACTGAAATAAAAGCAATACAACAAAAAATGGGTGTTAAGTGTAACAATCTGTAATATGTAATAACCCTTTGGTGATCATAATAATTTTAGTCATCTACAAGCTAACGCCATTGGTTTACTTCAACAGAACAAAATGTTCATACAAAACATCCCGTTAATGGTAATACCTAGTTTCTTCAGTCTCTGAGTAACATAGTAAAACACCATTTTTATGTCTGGGGTATACATCAAATCGAACAAATAAGACGAGCTACCTTCATCGTCCCTTGCTTCACTGCAACAACAGGCCCTATAAAACATCGCCTGTTATCCGGTAGGTCGGTTCATCGTCAATCTCGGCATTGTCCATCTTTCTACAAACATATATATAGTGAGAATCTGGATCTTCCAAAACCCAATCTTTTGGAATCAATCCCTTTTCATCTAGAGGAATCGGTTCCACATATGATTTCCTTGATGAACTACAACTTTCTGGCTTTTGAAATCCAGGTCTAGCTGCAGCAATTTTCAAGTATTTACTATAAGATTCTATTAATAACATGATAAACCGACATTTTATACAACTCAACACAACATGATTATTCTCTCCAGTAATTTCCTCATTAGCTATGTTCTTATAATTAAGTCTTGAAACTTTTAGTTTCAAAAATTTGGCTCAATTATTGATTTGATTCTTATTATTTAAAGAGAAGGTAACATTAAAATCTGCTGACATAGATAACAAAATATTAATGGCAACTAAGTACATTGATGAAAAGAAGCCTAATTATCTAGGTAGAAAAGAAAACTCAGAAATTTTTAAAAAACCAAAGAACAAAATGCAGGGCTACAGACTAGATTGACAAAAATACAACTAATCTGAGGCCTAATTTGTTCTCATTTAGCTACATATACTTGTCAATTCATTAACATATTTCACACATTAGATTAATTTGAGAATCTATTTGTGTTTTAAAATTTAAAGAACAAACAAGATAATTAAAAAAAAAAAAACTTGAGGAATTGAAAGTTTCATTATCTCTCAAGTGGAATAGTAAACGTCTGGCAAACTTAACCTAGGTTTCATCCTAAAATAAATACTTTTCTTATGTAACAAGATAGTTACCATATACTCATGACTAATCAGAATCTAAAGCTTTTTATTTATATTCTTCACTTTGGTCCCCACCAAAAGCTCAAAGTCTAGACTCTGGATTCAACCAACAAAATTTTATGCAACCCACAGTGAATAATTTCACATTACCAGAGATATTTTCCCAGTTAAATGAAAATGGCAAAAACTTACGGATATTATGCAATGTAATTTTCCAATTATACATCGGACGTCTTAGATGAGGCATCCTTACTGTTGGATCACCGTATGTAATCTGCATATGACAATGAACTAATAAATTGTGCCCTCTAAACATTTTGAATAGACAATAAAGTTAAAAAATAAAAGCTTCATGCATGGAAGTAAGATTACCAACATGTAAGTCCCTCCCGGTTTTAGAAGTCTACAAAGAAGAAAGCGGCCATAGTGAGAATTTGAAAATGAAGTATATTTATTTAAATATTTTTTGCATAAATCTCAAGAAATTAATGTCACTATAGTCTACAACCTACACACTTCTGCAAGCATCTGAGCAGCACTAATTGGAGCATCAGTACCACACTAGAGACGACGAAGCAAATCCGAGGATTAGAGCATGCAAACATTATTGCATTAAAAGTTTACAAGCGTCAACAATAAAAGTACATACCATCAATGAATCAAGAGTTCCTAGACCAAGCATCAAAGGAGAACAAGTGTAAATGAACAGCAAGAATAAAGTATCATCAGTATATGAAGTATGCCATTAAATTTAAATGTTATAATTATGACAAGGTTTACACTTAAAGGAATGAAGAAGTAATACCTTTGTCAATTATGCCATCAAATGAATCATCAGGAAAGAAGCTCATATCCCTGACATCCATGTGCATGTCTATAGAGATTAAAGAAACTTACATAAGGATTTAGCTTGTGCTTTGTCAAAAGATGAAGACTGCCAAAATGGAAATATAATATATCATTGATATGATACATTTCAGTTGGGGGATGTACTCATATTTTCTTCTCATCATGTCAATAGCGACTGCTGAAATATCAATATTCATGATGTCCTCATAACCATCTTGGACCATATCCTCTGACATAACTACAAAGCAAAATAGAATTCTTCCTGTAAGCCTCTTCAGAAAAGACAAGTTCAACATAAAATAAATCTTTCATTCTGTCATTCAACAAACAGAAGGTGAACAGGTATGGCTGATTATAATGCGCATTCCTGACAACAAAACTTGTTTCTAGAATATTAAGTAGTCAAGTTCGAAGAAAGACGAATTTTACAAAACAGTCAACAATATATACATGTATATATTATATCAGAATGCAGCAATTGATTTTGACCATAGATGTCAATACCAGTACATGTCACCAACTCAAAGATTAGGTATTGGAAAAAAGGTAACAAGTATGACTGAAGAAGCGGATAAGTAAAACAATGAATATAAAAATAGGCTTGACTGGCAAGCCAAAAAATCCTTAAAGGAACAAGACTAGGTTTGGAAATTGGAGTCACAAAATTCAGACAAGTTTGACCTATAACTGTCTCCAATTACCTCAATCATTTCAAATCCCTCAGTCATGTAAAAGTAAAACCTTACCCTTTCATGGAGCAGAAACTTTCTCCATTATATTTAAGCCGACAATCAAGTAATGAAAGCTGTACACTACCACAATCCATTTGCAATATGCAATGCAGAAAAAAATCCATTGAAACTATTTCTCTGTTGTTGTGCATTGAATTACCAGATCTTTCTATGACTTCCAGATAAGTTTAGTGGCAATGATGCTAGGGCCGCCCAGTTTCTCAGGTGTGAAATATTAGAATATCTAATGAGGAAAGGAGGCAGTAGGGAAAAAGACAGCAGTAGTGGCAGCCAAGCAACTGATTCAAAAGAAAAGGATGGGATGCGTGGAGAACATGCAGAGGATATCAATACAAATGGGAGGCATGCTTGGCAGTTAGGAGGGGAAGAGGAAGAAAGAGAACCAAAAAAAAAAAACAAAGAAAGAAAAGAAAAGGGAAAAGAAGGGATGGTTAAATGGCACATTAACCTTGTTTGGGAGAACCTTCTCCTCCAAAATTCCACAAATTAGGGGAGCCCAAAATTATAGAAAAGGGGAGGAGTTTGGAGAAATTTGGAGGGTTTGTTAAAAAACATCCATTCTTGCCCCTCCCTGTAACAGGCTTCCAAACAAAAGTTTTGGAGCAATTAACTGGAGTTATGGGATTGATTTCAGTTATATGAACAAGTTTTGGCAGAAGGTTTTCTTCCATCATGTATTCAAATTGTGTTGCCTATTATCTCCAATATATGCCACTGCATATTTACTAACAAGATCCATCCTTAAACAACGGGATAAACATACTCACAGGTCAGAGGCTAGTCTCACTATTTTCAACATTTCTTCTTATAGAAGTGAACTGCAGTCTCCCAGCCTCGTCTCGCCAATAAATAATGCCACAGAGACTACAAGCTTGCAAAATCAAGTTTAATCCATAACAGTGGAGAACTCTGAGGTAACAAACCAAGTTTTCAGCCCCAGTCAAGGAGCCAAAAACCATGGAACTTCTATCGAAAGGAGAAAGGGAAAAGCAGATGTTCACAGATAGGACATCACTCCCCACTCCCCACCTTCTTAAGGTGATCAAGATTATTAGGAGGTGTCATTGTGTTGTGTTGAAACATGAACTCTGTTCTTTTGAGACCCCAAAACAATAAAACAGTACCCTCCTCCATAAATTACGAGATATACGATCGCATATAGGCCCCAAGTCACAGCAACAGTTATTGAATGCTCCAGTAATGGAAGGAGATGGCAAGAACAGCCGTGAATCTGGGGAAGCTTCAAATTTGGATACTCATAAGACTAGCCTCGAAAATAAATGAGGATTTATTCATGAAAAAAAGTAGAACTTTCTCGGAAAGAAAGAGAACCCTAAACGTTAAATCAAAAGCTAAAGCAGAAAAGACATCCCGGATTCTTTACTTTTCATTCTCAACAACCTACCAATGACTTACCAGACAAAACCCCATCTCAGGACAATCGAGAAAACCAGAAACCAAAAGGATTTATCTTAGCGGCTAAACCAACAAAAGACCACCCAAAATTCTTTTCTTTCACTCCCAATTCACCATAACCAAACAGACTGACGGTGCAGCTAAAACCCCATATCATGACAATACATCAAAAACTAATCGATGGAAAGAAAAACCCAGAAGGGTCCAGAGGGAGCCAGGAAATTTACCAGCATTGCCACAACCAACCATGAGAACTCGAGAAGAGGAAGGGATGTATTTACGAACGAAAGGCCTCAGAGCAGCATAACGCTGGTACCAGTCAAATGAGCCACCCTCTTGCGTGTAGCGAGCGTCCCAATAGACGGCGTCGCCATAGTTATAGGTGTTGCAGCTAGACACGTCCCTGTACATATTCCCAGTGAAGAAGAAGATATGACTAATTTTTTGATACAAATCTCAGTGGGTTTGTTTGTAAGGCGGTGGTGGTGGGGGATCCAATATTGCTGGCTATGGTGGCGACGGATGGTGAAGGAGGGGTGGTTGGTTGTTGCTGTTGTTGAGTTGAGTGGGTTGGGTTGTGCGGTGAATAGGAGTGGGTGTATTGAGTAGAATAGGATTGAGGAAAAGGCATAACAATGAAGTAAAGCTTTCAATTTAGTTTGTCGCTTTGCGTAAGGTTTGGACTTGACTTGGGACATGGTCGACAGCATAGGATCGTGGGGGTAGGTGGGTCTAGCAAGCCAAGACCTAAGTGACTCCTCTGTAGCGGAACCAGAAGGAATGAAGTTATGGCCCTTTTGGTACGCCGTCTTGGTTGTTACTTGTTGGTATGCCCTGATAGGATAGACTGTTTTTCCCAAAATGGGACAGTTTTTTTTTTTTTTTTTGATGAAAATGGGATAGTTTTTCTGTTCATGAATGTTACCTTTTTTTTTTTTTTGTAAGGGTTTGAAGAAAATGCTCCCAGTGCTTCTAATTATACAGCAAAGTCAGGAGTCATAAACATAGAAAAGATGTAACTTTCTAATTTTTGTTATTTATTGAAATTAATAACCATAATAAAATGCTTTATAGAAATTAAAAACGTCATCATACTTGTTGTAATTCACGAGAAATGAAGTTGAAAAGAATTTAACACCAATTCTTTACCCTCCATTTAAGCTTAATTAGTAGGGTTTTAACACTTTATCTTTTTTTAATTAAGGTTTGTTTAGTTCAAGAGGAGAGGAAGAGATATGAGGGTAGAAGAGAGGAGGAGAGGGGAACTTCCCCCCAATTTAGAAAGGAGGCTTTGGAGGGGAAAAATTTCCCCTCCCCTCCTCCTAACCAAAGGAGGGGAGGGGAGGGGCTTCCCTCCTCCTAACCAAATGAGGGAAGGCCCCTCCAACCAAACACATCCTAATAGAAAATTGATTATATGCAGTGATAACGGCGCAATGGTTCAAAAGTGGCGACGATGCATTTTTATCTAATGGTTGGGAAGAGAAATGTGCAAAGGTTTCTCATATGCAAAATACTCTACCATTATTTTTAAAAATATTTGTTTGATAAATTTGTTTTATTACTAATTTGAATAGTCTAAATTTAATTTGGATAGTCCATATTTAATATTAAAATTTTTATAATTTTTTAAATTTATTGTCTATATCTAAAAAGTTCAGATTTAAAACTTTTAATTTGTAATATTTAAAAAATATTTTTATGAAAAGTGTGAGTTAGGATATTATTTTTAATATTATATTTATCAAAACAACAATTATAAAAAATTTAAGGGTAAACATAACTTTTAGTCCATGTATTTTCTCAAGTTTTGCTTTTAATCCTTATATTTTTTTTTATGTTTTAAGTTCCTACACTTTTATTTTTTATTATTTTTAATCCCTCTATGAGCAAAGTATAGGGACCTTTGAAGGATTCAAAACAATAAAAAATAAAAGTGTAGGGACCTAAAATACTAAAAAAAATGTATAGGGACCAAAAGCTATGTTTACCCAGAATTTAATATTAAATCTGGACTATTCAAAATACATATGGATAATTAATTTATCAAAATTAAAAAAATTAATATTTAATTGGACCATTCAGATTAAATTTGTATTGTCCAGATTAATAATTGACTGATTTATTAAAAATTTTATATAAGTTTTATAAATTATATAAAGTTCATTTTTGCCTTTGAACTATACTCTCAAGATCACCCAATATTCTATACTTTGGTTCATCCATATCCTTAAACTATCAAAACTGGTTCATTTTCCCCTTATGATTACTTGAAGTTAAGTTTGACCGTTAAATGCAAATGACTTAGGTTTTAAAAAAATCACTGTGTCTCTCCCCTCTTAGCCTCGGCAACATGCAAGCCATGAAAACACAAATTGGCAAAAATTCAAACTAGAAAGCCAGAGAGAGCATCCTGTCATAGATGAAGAGAAATAAAAAAAAGTCCCAAAACAAATCTCAACTCAAAACCAATCTATCCAAACACAAAAACATCCTATGCTAAAGCATGAATTGGCAACCACGAACTAGAAATCATAATCAAATAAATGACCAATCTATCCAAAGACAAGTAGAGTGTAAATTAAAGAGAAAACTCAGCCATTTAGGACCGATCTCAAAATATGTTGATAAATAAAAGTCTTACAAAAAATTTTTAACCCAGAACCAATCTATCTAAATAGTAAAATCGAAATAAAAGAGAAATAAAAATCCAACAAATCGAGAAAAAATCAAAGAACAAATCTATAAACAGATTCAAAACCCAAGTATTGATGAAGAGCGCAATGGTTGGCTTGTATCATTGGTCTTTAATGGTTGATGAATGATGATGATGATGAAGAAGAAAGGGGGTTGCTAAGGTGGATCGACTGGATGAAATTGAAGATAGTGCGAGGTAGAGAGGCAACTAGATTGGAGGTTGATATCTAAAAACCCATATTTGCTTCACCATCTTGAAGAAGGTGTAAGGAGGAGAGAAACCTGAATAACAAAAATTCCTTCCCTTAAAAGATCTACCACAATCCCTTAATTCTTCTTCCCTTTTGAGTATAAAGAAAGCTCCAAGGTCGGTGGATTGCAAGTCAAATAGAGGAGGGAGCATTAAACTGGCCAGTAATCAAGGAGCTAAAAGGCCTTGGTGAAGTAAACAATGATGAGAAGGACGAACTAGCTAGACTCACTAGTAAAGCCATGGACGAGGGCAACAATCATCGTTGAATTCTTTATGATCTCTACTTTTCCATTGAACCTAATCGCGCACTTAGCTAACCCAGGGATTGAAGGACTAGACAAGATAGAGGAGGGGTAAGATGATGAGTTTGAGGTTAGGTTTTGAGGGCTTGGATTTTTTCTCAACATTAAAGGTCTGGAAAACATCGATCAAAACAAGGAAGAAAGAGGAGTATGTAGATTTTAATAATTGCACTCTTTGTAACATCCAAGAAATTTAATTATAGTTAATTAAATTAATGAGTGTGATTAGTGAGTTAATGAGATATGTGGCCAAAGGGGCTTAATTGGGGTAATTGATAGTGATTTCAGCCTTAGAAGTGGGTCCGGATTAATAGTGGGCTACTCAAGCATGGAAAGAGGAAGAAAAGGTGAAGGAATGTCCTCTGTGCCATATACTGCGATGTGTGGTTAATTCACCATGATGTACAAAGGCAGATTCAAAGGCAACAGCCTCTCTATGCCATACACCGTGGAGAAGGGCAGCATGCACCACTACGCATGGCCAAAAAAATCTAATAAATTAGTTCACATTTTATGCAAGAAAACAAAGAAGAGAAAGGATAAAACAGTAAGAGCATGACCAATGCTCTATCAGGACACATTGTTAGATCACATAAGTAATAGTTTGAAGCTCCCAAACACTCAAAGTAAATAACTTATGCTCTTATCTTCCTTTTTATACCATATTTAAGAGGTTTTGAGTTAGGATTTGAGTTGAAAAATTGATTTTCAGTTCATAGGAGTTATAGGTCTAAACCCCTTGGGTAAAATAGATATATTGGAAGTTGTTTGTGGTAGATAAGCTTTATATTAATGATTTTATCAAGAGTTAGCTAGGGTGAGTTATTGTTATACAAATTTTACAATAAATATGATTGTTAGAAGTGTTAGTGGACCATTAATGGTGGTTTGAAGATCTATTAATGATAATGTGCATTAATGGAACCTAATGAACCTATTGGGTATGAATGGGTAAAGATTTATGGGATTGATAAAATAGAGAAATATGGAATTATAGTTAATATAATCCCTAAGAGTGAGATTATAATGATATTCTTGCTTATGATTGTAGTGTGAATCATTGTAGCACCATTCAAGCTTATGAAAAGTTGTGGAAGTTGGTATTGTAAACTTTTAACCTTTTAAAGTTTTGAGGTAATTGGGAGAAACCTAACTTTATATAGTTGAATATTAATTGGTTATTGATTAAAATGGGTTGATTTGGATTATGATTTGTATTTTGAATTATAGACACAATTTTGGCAAATGATAAACTTGTGAATGGTTTACTAAATGAAAACCTTATTATGTCACCCATTTGTGATTTATGAATTTAATTATAGCATGTTATTGTGGGTGGAGAATTGTAATGTGTAATGTGTTGAGCATATAGAGTATTTAAGTATGAGTATGTGAATTTATATGCCATGAATTAGTTATTTTGAATGCATATTATGTATAAAATGTATATAACATGATCATTGCGCGAGAGTTCTCCTAGGGAGAAGAGTAGATTGATTTAAATCCACATAGTATTGGCAACGACCATTGGAATCGGGAGGTAGCTCTTATCCCATGATTGATTCGAGATTGTTCTACTTATTCTATGAGAAACTCTAACCTAAATAGTCTCTACTAGTTTATAAGGAGGCTAGATTAGGGGTACAACACCCCATGGTTGTTAGTATTGGGGGAAACCAAACTACATAAGTGAGTTAACTCTGGCCAAGTAGCTCTTCACAAGTGAAAGACTAGGTTAGTATGTGAAGGACATAGACATGTGATAGTCACCAATTTTATGTTGGAGGTAACAGAAGGGTATAAGATTAGCATTTGATCATGCATTTAAATATGACCACATAGTTGTTAGTATTATAGTTTGGTAAATGTTAGGGCTATATGGTTGGTATTATTGGGACCCTAGGATTGTGCATTGGCATTTTGTGGAAAAGAATATGTGACTTGGGCCCTGTCACATAATTGTTAGTATTGTGAATCATAACCAAGTTTATTATAGTTGTTGAGATGGTGTGTTTTTGCCTCTTTGAATCCGTTTACAATTGATATGTAACTGTATATATTAGGTGAAACTTGGTTACTGAGTAGTTGTACTTACCCATCAATTGTCAATATTTTCATGGCCTAATTCATCAAATCTAATTTGAGATTGTGGTGAAATCTTACTTTCATGCCTCTTTACTCTATTTATAGTGTTAATGTTGTATCATTATCAACTAGGATCACATGTCATTATTTTATATTACTTGCATTAGCTTAGTGTACAATTTGCATATTCTGTGCCTCGGGTTAGTAAGTTTTGGTTGTAAACTCGTGGATAAGGCTAAAATACTTGTACAATAGAAACATATGTATTTTGAATGATTTGAAAAGAAAATGATAGTTTTGTGCATGATTTTCCTCGCCCTTGTATTTTATAAAAT